ATATGGTTTTGTTTCTTTTTTCTTAAGAAAATAGGCATGACAGTGATAAATCGTGGAAAATTAAATGTAGTTAACCCTTATATTCTAAGCTCTGCATGCATGCCAAAAACTATCCACGGATGTTAAAGCCTCTAATTAGTTCTGAATGTGAAAATAAGAATTAAGAACAGACATCCCTTCATCATGGAAATAATGCAAATTTAGTCCACTAGCATTTGCAGTTTCCAAAAAGAAAGAACAGGAGAAAATGATGAGATTGGCTTATAAATTTCTTATTATTTTTATTTATACGAAGTTTTTATTTTAAATGACAATTATATAAATTTTCATGATTTATAAATGATTGGTTTATTGTTTATTTTTTTATTAACTTCTAAATTGCAATAATTTTCAGTTTATGATTTGTTATGGGTGATTTATATATAGTTAAATTTAAAATGTCGTATATATGTAAAAAATTCAAAAATTGTAATAAACATATAAAAAGGCAAAAAATATAAAAAATAAAAAATTGAGGAAAATGGTACATGATAAGAGTTATTAATCTGAAATAGCATTTTTCACTCCCTATCATGCATATGTTTCAGCCTAAACAAGCAGTCTCGTCTCAATCATCCTCCCCCGACGGAGAAGGATTTTGCCGCGAATCCGGACTAGTCTCGTTTCCATCGGAGTTGTCACCTGTAAATGGGACTAAGTGTTTGACGTTAAAAACGTCAGAAGTGAGAATATGGGACGGAAGGCGAAGACGATAAGCATTCGGGTTGATCTTCTCAACCACCTCGGCCGGACCAATCTTCCGGGCAGATAACATATTGTATTCATGGGCAGAAAACCTATCCTTCGTCAAAACCGCCCGCACAAAGTCACCTACCTCGAACTCAACATGCCACCGTCATATGTCCGCTTGCCGCTTGTAGGCCGCCGTGGAGTTTTCCAAACGAGCCCGAGCGGCCGCATGCGTGGCCTGCATGTCCGAGATGAAATCAGCCGCCCCCCGATCAATCACCATCGTGGAAGGCAATGCAAATAAATCGGACAGCCCACGCAGCTGCACAGCATACACCGCCTAAAAAGGAGAGAACCCGGTGGCATGGCTGATGGCCGAGTTTTGTGCGAACTTGGCCTGGCTCAGTCGTTGATCCCAACTCCGCAGGTTATCGCCGACCATGCAACGAAGCAAGTTGCCCAACGATCTGTTGACGACCTCCGTCTGCCCATCCGTCTGTAGATGATACACACTGATAAAATCCAACCGTGTATTGGCCATACGCCATAAGCTCCCCCAGAAGTGGCTCAAGAAATGAGTATCACGGTTGGAGACAATTGAAGACGGCAGACTATGCAGACGATATATCTCCTGAAAGAATAATTGGGCCACATGAAGAGCATCCGTAGTGCGTTTGCATGGGAAAAAATGCACCATCTTCAAGAACCAATCCACAACGACGAAGATAGAGTCAAACCCACGCTGTGTACTTGGCAAACCCAAAACAAAATCCATACTTACCGCACTTTACAGCTGAGAAGGAATGGGCAACGGCCGGTATAGACCGGCATTAGAGGCCACCCCCCTTCGAGACATGGCACACGCAACAGCGACCCACAAAACGAGTCACATCCCGTCGAAGCAACGACCAATAGTAGGAACGGCAGACCAACTTAACCGACCTATCACGCCCCACGTGACCGATCCCATGGAGTTCTGCAATAAGACGCTGTCGGAGGCTACAGTCCGGAATGCAATGGCAAATACCACGAAAAAGAAACCCGTCGGTAACAGAGTAGTCCTCAAACGGTCCCGTTTGAAGGCGGCGAACTACCGATCCCAAAAATGGGTCGTCCACATAACTCTTTCGCAACACATCAAATCCGACCACAACAACTCTCATATCAGTCAAAAGAAGAGAACGACGGCTCAATGCATCGACGACCTTGTTTGAAACACCCTATCAATGGCGCAGAACAAACGTGAACTGCTGCAGGAAGGCCGTCCACTACGCATGCCGTGCCGAAATATTGTCTTGGGTCGCCAAGTGTCTCAAAGCCTCATGGTCCGTATATAGTATGAACTCTATATGAAAGATATGATGCCGCCAGAGACGAACCGCACGAACCACTGCATAGAACTCTACATCGTAAGTGCTATATCGGACTCGGGGGCCCGACAACTTCTCACTAAAGAAGGAGACTGGGCAACCGCCTGACCGTGAACAACACCAATCCTCACCTTTGAGGCGTCACAAGAAATCTTGAACGGTATGGTAAAATCTGCCAAAACGAGTACAAGAGCATAAGTCAATTTGCTCTTAATCAAAGCAAAGGCAGTCTCAGCCTCCGGAGTCCACACAAACGACTTGTCATGGAGACAATCAGTGATCGGAGCTGTAATAGAACTAAAGTGGGAAATAAAGTGGCGATAGAACGATGCAAGGCCGTGAAAACTACGCGCCTCAGTAAACGTGGAAGGAGTCGGCCAATCACGAATAACGGCCACCTTGCCATCGTCAACCCGAATCCCCTCAGCTGAAATCACAAATCCCGAAAACAAAATCGAAGGCACCATGAAACAACACTTATGAGGAGCAGCAAAAAATGCCTCAGCCCAGAGAACAAGTAAGAGTGACCGGGCATGCTGGAGATTCTCCTCCACCGACCGACTGTAGATAAGAATGTCATCGAAATAAACGACGACACATTGGCCAATAAACTCCCGAAGTGCTTAGTTCATCACCCTCATGCATATGCTAGACGCGCTCGACAAACCGAATGGCATCACCAACCACTCGAACAACCCCTCGCAGATCTTGAAAGTCATCTTCCACTCGTCACGAGGTCGAATTTGATATAGCCGCTATGTAGATCCAACTTGGTGAAAATTTTCACCCCATGAAGCTGATCGAGTAAATCATCGAACCGTGGAATCGGGAAACGGTACCCAATGGTGATCTTGTTAATTGCCCAGCTATCGACACACATGCGCCACGTGTTGTCCTTCTTTGGGATGACAAGGGCCGGAACCGCACAAGGGCTCATACTCTTACGAACCACTCCCCGTTGAAGAAGCTCCTCGACTTGTCCTCTCAGTTCCTTGTGCTCTGTCGGACTCATACGATAATGAGGTCGATTTGAAAGAGATGCCCCCAGAACCAAGTAAATGTGGTGCTAAATGTCGCGAAGTGGTGGTAGACCGGCAGGAATCTCGTCCGGGAAAACGTATGTGAACTCAGACAATAATGGCTGTATAACTGCAGGTGGTGACTGGTCTTCCATCGTGTCCCGACCAACCTCTAACAGGACCATCGGAGAGTCACGCATCTCCGTGAAAAACGCTGAGCGAGACAGAGTAAGAACTGAAGACGACGAGCTCGTCGTCGGTGCGGTTCGAGGCAGAGACGGTTGCAAAATGATCCTCACCCCCTCAAACAAGAATGAATAAATGTTGAGGCTACCGTCATGAGCAACTGCCCGATCGAATTGCCACGGGTGTCCCAACAGTAAATGACAGGCATCCATTAGGACTACGTCGCACCAAATCTAATCACGATACCTCGGACCCACAGAAAAAGAAACTAACACACGTCGGTCAACAGTGATTGCATTACCTCGTTGAATCCACGCAAGTGTATATGGCTGTGGATAAGGAACACTAGACAAGTGCAGTTTGTTGACGACCTCCTGAGCGATAACATTTTCACACGATCCCGAGTCAATAATAAATCGACAAACCTTGTCCCTAACCATACAAGTGGATTCAAACAAGTGATGACGTTCCACCGGCGAGTCCCCTGAACCCTGCGGTGCCAAACAGGCTCGTCAATAAACCAGGGCTGTGCCAACATCGCCGTGTATGAGTTCCTCCACCTCTCATGGCTTTACATCATAAGCCGGCGACCCATCATAGTCCTTACTGAAGGAAAAATCCCCCGCCTCCTCCGAAAACAAAGCCCGAGTGCCGGTATCTTTCGGGCATACCGATTGGCGATGTCCGACCTCTTCGCACCGAAAACACCTCAAGCTGGCGACGGTCCGTGAAGCATTCGCAGACGGCGGCTGTCCGCCCCCACCGACGGCCCGATGGCTGCCGCCTCCAGACGTCGAAGTCCGTCCTGCCGCCGTCCCATGGCCAAATCCACCATTCGTCGTAGGTCCTGGATGCGTGAACTGCGGGCCTGCTCCCATCACCGCTCTTGGTCGTGAAGAAGATGCCCCGGCCTGCAATTGAATCTCAACGAGAAGAGCTCACTGATGGGCATCCGACACCGATTCGGGGCGAAACATATTCAACATCTCTTGAATCCTCGTACGTAAACCCCCGACGTACTTGGACACTAATTGATTTTTCGTCTCCCGTAGTTCGACACGGGTTAAGAGACGATAGAACTCAGTTGCGTATCTATTTACCGAATGCGACCCTTGTCGTAAATGCTGTAGTTGTTGATAAACAATGCTATCAAAGTTGAAAGGCACAAATTCACGTTCTACCTGCTCACAAGATTTCATCCAAGATGATATACTCGGTTTCCCTTGACGATGCCGCAAGCTGGTGAGTTGCACCCACCATGCCGCCGTCCGACCCTGGAATCGTGTGGCGACTAGAGTGACACGCTTCTCCTCCGGGACTTTCCTAAAGGCTAGGACAGCCTCTACTGTCGCCCACCAACCGATAAACTTCGACCCGTCCACTCCCTAGTCAAATTCTAGAATGTCAACACGAAACCCTTGTTCCCAATGTGACTCATTGCCCCCTTCTATCAGATGTCTGCCGTCACATCAGTACTGACTGCCTCTGTCAAACCCATTGCGGTTAACGAAGGCTTGCTGCCGCTG